GCGGGCGCGCGCGGCGGGGCCGCGCGGGGCGCGCTGGGAGCTGTAGTGTTCGAGGGGATGCTCCGTGAGGCGGGAAAGCGGCGGCGTGGAGGGAGCGCGGCTGTGGGGATGGTTTTTTTTGCGTGGGTTCTCTCTCTTGCCGTGGCCGCAGGTTGTCGCTCATGCGAGCACAGCTGTGGGACAAAGGTCCCTCCTGGGCTGTGGCATCGGCCCAGTTCTGTCCCACAGCCCCTCGCCGGGCTCCTGCAGCATTCCCATCACGAGTGGGGGTTTTTCGTTGAAATTGGAGAACTTGTAAAAATTTAAAAAAAAAAAAAATTAGAGAAGTTATTCTTAAGACACGTTGTAACGCAGTTCGTGCTTCCCCGGCAGGAATGAGTACAAGTACTTCCAGAGAATGACGAGCACGTCCCGTGTGGAAGGTAACGTGTGGGCACCCGAAACTCGGCATTCCGCATTTCCCTGCCTGCCCTCACAAGTATTTCAAGTATTTCCCACCAGTATTTCAGCCCTTTGCAATCGCTCGGGGTAGATGAGGAAAGAAGACCAGGCAGATATTTCCGAGCAATGCAGGCGATCTCTTAGGGAGCAATTTTCAAGTCCGTCTTCCATCAGAATGGCAAACTTCATCTAAAGTTTACCTAGCGCGAAACTCCAAGTTAAAATGGGAGGGTTTTCACAAGCTGCCTAATTAGCAGAGGTGGTTTGTTTTTCTCAGTCGGCATTAGCTTATCTAACTTGTTTGCTGTGGCTCAGCCTTGGCCATTCGATCCACCCCTCTGACCCTTGTGACAGTAATTTTGCCGAGTTTTCTGAGTGCTGAGCCAAATCCATGCACCAGAAAGTCCAAACTATGGAGCAGAAATACTGCAGTTGTTTGTCACTTTTTCATGGTTTGCTGTGGGGTTTTTTTAATGCTGTTAAAACTCACTTGTTTGATAAAAACTCACTTCTGGTCAGCTTCATATATTCCCTTGTTTTGATTAGGTGCCTTACTCCATTTTCTGCCCTGAAACTCTGTTTTGGTTGGGCCACTTACTCAATTTCCTGAATCGAATGTCTGTTCCATAATCCACAAGGAATGTCTAATCTCATCTTGAAAAACTTCTGAGTAAACGACTTTACATATGTTCAGAAGACCCGATTCAGCCCTTTGCTACTGTATGTGCTAAAAAAGGGCAGAACACAACTGACAGTTGTAAGTCTTTTTAGATGTCTGCAAGTTGAATCTCACCTGGCAGGAGTGAGCTGTGATCAAGAAAAAAGATGTTTGAAATATAATTACAAAGAAACATTTTGCTCTGTCCTGCCTGCAGATCTTTTGATGAGCTGTGATCTCAGATGCTAGGCAGGAAAAGTGCTTCATAACCAGACTTCTTAATAGATTATGCTGCCATAAATCTTCACACCAGGGATGTCACCTTTGCCTCTGCTGTGTCTCAGCCTGGAAACAACGTGGAAAGAGTGATCATGTTGGCATTGTGGGGTTTTTTCTCTTGATAAAAAGAGAAAACTTTTTAAAAGGTTTTTAAAAAGGAACTCCTTTTCCTCATAAAGAGGAACATTCATTTCCTTGAGACATTTGCATATGAGAGGTAATCAGGATATGAATGCTTGGGTTTGGTCAGAAATTATATTTATGTGTGAACGTTAGAGTGTGATTGATCACCTGTAGCACCTTGGCTTTAGATTTAATTTGCCTGGTTCTTCTCCTGGAAATTGTGGTGGGTTTGTAAACCAGTTCTCATTTGAGAACTGGGGCCTGAGCTTGTGCTTTTGCTAACTGCTGCAGAGGGGCTTGGAAAGGCAGGGGAAGTCCATCAGTGCCTCTAAACAATTCAAATCAATTCTCTCCTGCTCAGGTAAACAAAATGCAGTGATCATGGGTAAAAAAACGTGGTTCTCCATTCCTGAGAAGAACCGTCCTTTGAAAGACAGGATTAATATTGTGCTCAGCAGGGAGCTCAAGTAAGTATGATAAATAAGGACCCTGTACAACAAATAAAAACCTGCACCAAAAAATGTCTGTAGTGTTACAACATACAGTAGTTCCAAATGTACCATTTTTGATACCTGTTTAGAAAGCATTTCTGCTGTTGGTTCTGAGTGTTATGACTACTTTACTCTGAATTTTTAATTATTTAGAATTCATTCACAAGGAAATTGTCATTACTTTGCATCGTGAGTACTACTTTTAGCTCTACTCACAAACCATTTGACAATTTTCAATAGTGTTTCTGACTCGTGTATTTAACTGTATTTCTCCAGTTCCTGCTTACACTGGTGGCCCCTAAGTCCATTTTTTGAAGTTCATTTTTGTTATGATTTGTGGATGAACGATCCTTTTTTAGAACTTCTTGAATGCATGACCCACAGTCACGCAAATAGTTTTAAATGGAAATGTCCACTTGTAGTGCTTTATTGCTTTGGAGGATGTTGGTAGATTTGCAGGTGATTATGTGAGAATATTGGCTTTTCAGCTGGTTTTGTTGAATGAAATATTAATGTTCTGAAATTCAAGTCAAAATCTACATTTTAGTTCTTGATCATCTGTATTTAATGATCTATGTTTAATTTATAGATTGTGTCTTTGTCTTATAGATATGTAAATTTCTCAGTTGCTCTTTTTCAGAAACACATTGTGAAATTCCAGACTCTTAATTTATATTGCCTTCTAAATTACAGTTAAGCTGTGATCTGTTGAACAATCCTACAGTCAAATGAGACTTCTAACATAATTTGGCAATAACAGGCACTTCAAAATAATTAACTGACGAGCTGCATGTAGTTATTTGTTAATTCAGCAAAGCACATTTTGTGTCTAGAGTGTGTTGATGATCATGATGAATTGTCCTTGATTTACTTAGTAATAGAGCTTTGCTTTTTCTAGGGAAACCCCGAAAGGAGCGCATTATCTTTCCAAAAGTCTGGATGATGCTCTAGCTCTTTTGGATTCACCAGAGTTAAAAAGCAAAGTAGACATGGTTTGGATCGTGGGAGGCACTTCAGTGTACAAGGTACATTTAGCCTCCTCCTAAATTACTAATTTTCTGTGATGGGATGAGGATGAAGCTCCTATTACTGCTGCTTTAGGAGGTGCTTCCCCTTCATATTACCAGCAAACTGCAGTGATTGCAACAGAACAGGTCTCAGAGAGTGGGATCTCAGCTCTCAAGTCCAGAATACCTGTCTAGAAACTGAACATTGCTCTTGCCAGTGGGCCAGTGTCACACTGTTGTTGTGCTTTTGAGAGCTTTTCATAAGTACCTAAATTGCTGGATTCTTCAGAACAAGCCCATATTGTTATGTTTATTTTACTGAGCCCATGTTTTTGTATTTATTTAACTGAGATTGCTGACTGACCCTGCAATGGGTTTGAAAAGAAAAAAAAAAGGAAAAGTGCTCCAGCTTTTTTAGCCAGAGTATGACGCTTTGTACATGTAAATGGGGAAGAAAATAGGATTTAGAGAGAGCTGACAGGTCATGGTGTCAGCAAAAACAAGAGATAACCATACAACAAAAGGTCGCACTCACTCTGCTTTCCCATCCAGCAGTGCTCCTAGTGCTCCCACTCCCTGGGTCAAGAATTGTAAAGCAAATTCTATTTAACAGTCAAAGGAGCAGTGCTGCTGTGCTGTAGTCATTACAGGCTTGCTGGGAGGTGCACTGCAGGTGTTGGGCACTGGGACGTGAGATGTGTGATGGCAGTGCCATAATGCACCTGGTGGGAGATCAGGGCTGGTACTGTGCCCTGTGCACGGGGTAGGAAAATGCATTTTTCTGGTACTTCGTGCCCTTACACTTCGTGCTCTTCCTGAATCTCTCCTCTGTGCCTGAGGAAATGCATCTTTCACAGTAGAAGCAGTGAAGTAGATTGCTAAGATTGTAAGAAGATGAGGCACACAAACACATTCAGCCTGTAATCAGATGTCATCCTACAGTAGAAATATCCTTGGCTCTCTGCTGTGACAGTGCCTGTGCCATGAAGAGGGTTTCTGGAGAGACCTTCTCCTCACAGAGGGCAGAGCCAGAGCCAGCTGTGAGCTGCAGCATTTGCACCTTCCCTGCCACAGGCTCAGCTCTAAAGAGTTATTGTTTCTGCTGCTTCTTCCAAGAGCATCTGTCTTGAAGGCTTCTGGTATTTGGAAGAAAAGAATGCCTTTTTTTAGACCATTACTCACCAATACTGACATTACAAATTGGCAGTTTTGATAGAGAGTAAATTGGAATGTACTGCTTGCGCTGATCAGTACAAGGGAATGTGTAAAGTAATAGGAGACCTGGTTACCCTGGACGTGGACAAGCATTGAGAGAGATGGGAATGTCCATTGTGGAGAAGGGAAGGCCCCAGGGAGAGCTCAGAGCCCCTTCCATACCAAAGGGGCTCCAGGAGAGCTGGAGAGGGACTGGGGACAAGGATGGAGGGACAGGACACAGGGAATGGCTGCCACTGCCAGAGGGCAGGGATGGATGGGAGATTGGGAATGGGGAATTGTTCCCTGGCAGGGTGGGCAGGCCCTGGCACAGCTGGGGCTGCCCCTGATCCCTGGCAGTGCCCAAGGCCAGGCTGGAGCAGCCTGGGACAGTGGGAGCTGTCCTTGCCCATGGAACAAGATGAGTTTTAAGGTTCTGTCCAACCCAAACCCTTTTGTGGTTCTGAAATTTGACCTGTTTCCTCCCTTTCAATCATCTACTCAAGACAGCTTTGCCATTGCCAGAGAACCATTGCCAATTCCTCCAGGGTCCACATGGTTATTTCAGACAGTGGCTTATAGTCCTGTGGAGCCTTTTAGCTCCTAGGCTTAGCACCAGATCATCAGTTAATCAGTTTGCCTTGGGGGGCTCCATCTTGATCAGGGCTGTTGTCACCAAGCTCTGGGAATGATCCTGCAGGCCTGTTTCTGTAGATGGTGTGAGCAGGGAGTGTGCCATGACCTTCCAGGCCTTTGCTGGTTTTTGTTTCCCACACCCCTGGGGGTGCCCTGGGCTATTCAGGATGTTTGGGCACCTGCCCAGACACCAAGCTGGGGCACCAGCCAGACCTGCCCCCATCCAGGGAGCTGGGCCAAGGTGCAGCAGCTGCCCTGCTGTCTTGAGTGCACGTTTGGGACACAGGTGTCCAGTCAGTCTCAGCTACAGGTGGCTGAGGTGCCCTCTCCAGCCTTTAGGAACTGAGGCAAGCCAAGGTGCAGCAGCATGTGCTCCAGATGCCATTTTGGGACAGGATGCTGCCTGCCAGGAGTGGGATGGAGGCAGGTGTTTGCTGCTGTTTACATCCTTTTCCTCCTCAGACTGCAGAAGAGGGAGGGCCAAATCTGTGAACATTTGTAAGGACACAGAGCATCCCTCTGTTGGTTCTGGCCATCTCTTCCACTGCCCCTTGGTTCTCAAGGACACAGTTCTCTCCAGGCTGTGGGAGGATTGGCATCAGCTGCCTCAGCAGCCTGTGAGCTGTGGTGGCCATCCAAGCCCTCCTGTAGGTCACACTGATGCTGTGCTCACACACTCTAGGAAAACCTACCTGACCCCTGCAGCAGGGAAAGGGAGAGCAGTGGGGACAGGGAGAGGCTGGGTGGAGTGTTGGTATTGGCAAGTGAGAGCAGGAAGGATTGAAAACAGCTCCATCAGTTCAGTGAGGGTTCAGAAGAACTCATGTGGGTGTCATCTTCCTGAATTTGTCTGGACACTGATCCCTCATCAGGTCTGTTATCTCCTAATGTAGCCACAGGGCAGCAGCAATGCCCCCAGGAAAGCTTTTGGGCTTCTGACAGCACAGACTTACCGGTTCATTTGCTTGGATATTAGTGCAGTGCCATCCCCTGTGCACTGTTCTGGATCTCCTGAGCTCCAGGAGGAGGTGGGGTTGCTGTTGTCTGCCTGGATGAGCAAGGAGGAGCCCAGCAGTGGGTTACAGCAGTTACGAAGCTGTTACACATCATGTCAGGCACTCTGTGGTTTTGTGTGAGCACTTGGTGTTTGGAAGGCTGTCTGCTGGCTTGTGAGTGCTTCTTGTGTGCTGGGAGCCTGTGGTGCTGGCCCTGGAGTCCCTCACAGCTGTTAGAGCTCATCAGATGTACTGGAGCACAGCTTCTGGCTCAGTTTCATCCCCAAGGCATTTCATTCATGAATATCAAACCTGCTCCCACATACAACTCAAGCATGGTGAGTGGGGACAGTTGGAAGATTCATTAACAGGTGAGCAGTGATCTTGGAAGTCACTTCCAACCTTCTACGATGCTACAATTCTCCACTAGCCTTCCCCATGCTGCAATGGTGATTTCAAAACCAGGTTTCTGTTCTGAGTTAAGACACTGCTGCACCTGTGTGGAGGTATTGTCTCTTGAGAGCTTCAGGTCTTGGCCTTGACTCTGAAAAATAGTGCTCTCTGGACATCCTGGGGGGTTAGAGGCCCAAAAAAGGGTTTAGGCTGGAAAGGGCTTGAAGGCTCATGTCATTCCAAACCTCTTGTGATGATCTGGGATGCCTTACACTAGATCAGGTTACTCTGATTCCACTCAGTATAAGTTGTATCAGTCTCTTTTAACAACATTTAAACTGTGTGGTTTAGATGGGTCAGAAACAATATTGAGGTTTTACTAGGAATAGGACCTCTAAGTCCATCACATCCTTGAATATTAAATAGGATGTTACAAAACACAAAGAAAACCAACAACAACAAAAAAAAAAAAAAAAAAAAAAAAAAAAAAAAAAAAAAAAAAAAAAAAAAAAAAAAAAAAAAAAAAACAAACCATACGCATACAAATCCACAAAAACCAACAGACCCAGGTGTCAACTTCCTTATGTTTATGGTGTGATTTCATGATGTGTGAAGTGAGTCCATCACCATTCCACCAGCTCAGCTCTGTGCCTTCTCTAATTTCTCTTTGGTCCCAAAAAAAGGGTGAAACCAATGGAGTGGGCTGGACAGGGCAAGACTGAATTGAGTATCAGTGAGGACCTACTTTATTCCTTGTGGGAAGGACAGCATTATGACAAAACTCTTTAGCCACCCTGCCCTGTCCTCAGCAGTATTTCACTGAGGCAGTGTCAGAGTCCAGGCCTCCCTGAACAGACTCCTTTGGAGGCTCCAGCCGTGGAAGGTTTTGTGTTTGATACAAAATCTGCTTATCTGAGGTTTTCTGAAGTTGCCTCTGGAGAACAGGGGGGGCCAGGTGTTCCCAAGGGAACAGGAGCTGTCCCCATGGGCAGTATTGGAGTGGCAGGGCTCAGGGTGGGGGACAGGTCCATGGGGCAGGGTCTGGCCCCATGACCATAACCAGGTCAGGCATAGCCTGGGGGTGACCGGGCTGGGGCTGGGTCAGGATGGCAGCCAGTGGCTGATTTAAGTGTGTGCTGAAATCTCAAAGCAGGAGAAAGTTGCCCTGAACAGAGCAGAGGAAGTGGAGAAGTGTTTGTCCTTGCCCCTTGCATGCTCACTGCCAGGCACTGGGCACTCCCAGCTGCTGAGGAGCAGTATGTGGCCCAAAACCAGCCTGTTGCTCTTCCCCAAACTCTTTTCTGTTTGCTGTTTACTGTTCGTGGGCCACCTACACACACAGGCCTGCAGGGCCTGGAGGCAAACTGAGGGAGCATCTGCACTTCTTCTATGAGTGTGGGGACAGTGACACAGCTGGCTGGTTCATTCAGCTCATGAAACCATTTCCCCAGAACAGAGGTCACCATCTGGTCTCCCTGGGATTAAATTTAACTTCCTTTGCACCGCCTGTGGTCGGTCCCTCCCTGTGCTCCTCCCTGGCCTGTTGTGGTGGTAGAGAGTTCTTGATGAAGCTGGATTCCCGCAGGGTTGGATAGAAAGTAGGTTTGTTCTGCTACAAAGTCTCTGTTAACAGAACACGTTTTTATTTGTGAAGCACATTATTATTCTGTCATTTTGCAAGCGTGACTCTTCTTACCCCCCTGTCCCTAAACAAGGAAAAATACTAGTGTTTGTGTACAAACTGCATGGACACCAGTTCAGTGCTGTTCAATGCTTGTGTGCTGTGACTTACCTCTTTCATTTCTAACTGTTCTCTAGTAGAGCAGCTTTTCTACAAATTAGCCTCTCAGCAGTGGTTAATTAATTTTATTGGATTCCATTTGTTATTACTTGGTTCCTGTGCTTGTTGAAGTAGTACCTAATAGCCTGCTGCATGGTGAGTCACCTTCCACAAAAAGCATTGCTCGTTGCCAGTTTAAGCAAAAGAGAGGAGCAGCTACAAGCTTTTCAAAAATGTATTGTAACCAGCCCTAGTGTAGCTTTTCATGGGTTATTCTAATCCCCACAAGGTCTGGTGGAGCTGCCATTTTTCAGTCTCACAACAAAATGTATATTCCTAACTCCTGAATTTGTTGGTGAAAACCTCACCTAACAAACATTATCTTGGAACATTTTCATCCAAAGACCTTGGAAATGTACAAGCTTTCAGCACATGTTACCGTTTTGCCACAATCCAGAGATCCAGCTTGGAAGTTAAACTAAGGGGTAGATTGATAATCTGGAATTCCAAAAATACAGCACAAATCCCTCACAGTGATATTAAGCATCAGAACAAATTACTTTGAGGTGTGGGCATCTCTCACCACTTAAACCTTCCTGTCTCCCAAAGAGGTGTGATTCAGAAATTGCTTGTTGCTACTGGGCCTACTGCTCCTTTCTTCTCACAGGGCCATTCAAATTTTGTTCTTAACTTCTGCCAGATACCCCAGGCTCTGAGAATAGGTATTGCTGCCACTTACCAGGTGGAACTGACACAGGGTGAAATTATCCCTTTAGAAAGTGCTCTTCAGCAGAGTCTAAAAGAGGAGATTCAGAGTGTAATTTTCACGGCTTTGCTGAAAGCCTGTGATACATGAAATTGTGACTGAATTTGTGTTGTTTCTAAAGGCAGCAATGGAGAAGCCAATTCATCATCGATTGTTTGTGACAAGAATCTTGAAAGAATTTGAAAGTGACACATTTTTTCCAGAAATTGACCATAAAGACTACAAGCTTCTAACGGAGTAAGTACCAAAATGAGTATCAGGCTTGTCTTCAGAATAATCTAATTTGAATGTTTTAAGGGTTATGTTAAGGCCATGTTGGTTTGAGTTTGAGGTGAATTTTTTCCCAGAGTCATACTTCACTCACAACCTGGAATGGCACCACACTCTGCACAGATTTTCTTGGAACTTGCTGTGTTCTTCAACTTTCCTACAGTCTTCACAGTGAAGAATTGTCTATGTCAGTTTGCTGCAAAAATAGCTTTTTCTTATTGTTTCCTGGTTTAGAATTACTCAAATATTTACTAAGCTTTGTAACTCTCAGTATGTTGTTAGTAAATAGTATTTGGTGTCTGAATGTCTTTGATAAATTGCCAAAGACAAATTAAATTGACTTGAATGGAGAGGCTTGAGCTTTATGGATTTCTAAGGTTATTCCTTCCCTCTTGAGAAAATTGCTTCTTCCTAACAAACATAGTAGGAAAAGGTGTACAAAAACTTACAGTTTCTGCCATTCACTGTGGTTTCTTTTATATTATCCTTGTCATATTCCAGTTGTGATTTTATGTCCTCTGCAACAAGATTACCTTCAAACAGGCACTGAGGAGCAGCAAAAATTCAGGCACCTGCCTCAAGAACCAGGGAGGACCAGACCTATTCTCCTCCTGCTGCTCCTCTTTTGGCTCTCAGCTGGTTACAGACCAGGAGTGGAAGAAATAGAAAGCAAGAGGAGTGAAGCTCTCCTCGGGGGGCACAGGAATGGATTAGCACGGCTCTGGGGGAGGATAGGCAGGGGCAGGGAAGAGGGATGCAGGACAGACAAGGTGGGTGGGGAGGATGAGTCACCTTCTCCAACTCCAATATATTGTGAGCTACTCTGCTCATTTGAGTGTCCTGAGATCTGACCCAATGCTCCCTCTTGGCTGTTCCTAGCTATACGTTGTTTTTGGCCAATGTACTGAAATGAACATTGGTGTTGGAACATGATTTTGTAAAATAACGGGTAATTTCCTCACTGAAGTGGAAACCTGATGATGCCAAACCTTACCAAATAAATTTAAAATGTATCTCTCCTTCAAAGTCAGTATTACTCATACAAAATCCTTCTTCTTTCATGAGGAGATGAAAAGATTTTTTTGAAAGCGTCTGTTAATAAGAAGTGGTTTAGAAAACCTGGAATATAGAAGAACTCTTTCTATGGTAGCAGTCACCTGTTTAGTAATCTCTTGCAGACTTGTAAAAAGCCTTGTCCTTAGCATTTCCTCTAGACCAACCTAGGAAAAGCAGGGCAAGGAAAAAACCCAGTGTTCCATAATCTCTTCTTCCTTAGTTGATATTTTGAATAACATATTGGAGGCTTTAATAAAAATGTTGGGTATTTCTTTAAGCCAAAAATAGGGGTGTTGTGTTGTGTCAGAGTATGCTTTCTTGATCTAAAAGATGTGCATATAAATAATGGATAGTAGTTAATATGCATCCTAAAAATGGTGTACCTGTTCTAAAAGACAGTGTTTTCATTTTTTTTTTCCCAAACATCTTGCTTTTCTAGTTGATTGGATAAATTACAGGTGAATCATAATGATACTCTTACCTGCTTATTGGCTTTTGCTTTTTCTTCTCCTCTCTCCCTAGGTACCCAGGTGTCCCTGCTGATGTCCAAGAAGAAAATGGTATCCAGTACAAATTTGAAGTGTATGAAAAAACTGTTGTGGCGCAATAAGGGAGGCATTTTGTACTTCAGTGTAAGGGCAGGTATTTGAAACCATGAAGTTTTACTGAGTGTAAAGATACATTAAAATTTTGAAGAAAATCATGCCTGATGGTAAAACACCTCAGTAGTGAATGGTTCCAAAAAGCACACCCCACACTTTGAAGACACACCCTGCAGAAGGGAGTCTGAGGAATTGCACAGCAAAGGTTGCAGGAGACCTTTCACTGATCTTAGAATCCGACAATTCCACGGATAAGGAAGGGCATTACACTGTGTCAGAGCTTTTCTACTGAAACAAAGGGTTTTAGTATCTCTCTCCTTGTTCAAAACATGCAGCACTGAGAAAGCACCAGTCCTCCAAGTGTGACTGGGATGTTGTATACATTTATAACAGCCTTTAAAATGTATTGGTGATGGGGTAAAGGTAAGCAGGCCCAGCAGGGAAAGGGGGATCAGGGAGTCTCACGCAGCAGTTGAGGGGTGCACTAATCCAGGACCTGTCACTCCAGGGTGCATCCCACAGGATTACCAGTCCTGCTGCAGGTGGGCTCGTCTCCCGTGGGGCCACAGGTGCTGCCCACGGGGTCACAGCCTCCTTGGGGCATCTGCTGCTGTGGTGCGGGCTCCTCAGGCTCCCTGTGTCCTTTGTCTGTGCCTCTCCTGCCTGACCTGCCCTGCAGGGCTCTTCTCCTCTCCCCTCCCAGCACCTCTCACCCCAGCTGTTGTTCCCCACCTTCTGGACTCTGTTGTCCCAAAGGTGCCAGTGCCACTGGTGGGCTCAGCCTTGGCCGGGGCTCTGCCCTGGAGCCAAGGGCACTGGCCCTGCAGGACACGGAGGAAGAAGCTTCCAGCAGCTTCTCACAGAAGCTCTCCCTGCAGCCCCCCTGCCTCCCACACCTGGCCACACAAGCCCAGCAAAATCTGGTAAAGAAGGTTTAATATTTGCCTAGATTCACAGCTGTGTGAAAGCTTTGCTGCTCTCATAAAAAGTCACTGTGTCATTTTGACTGCAGCCACTTCGAAGTGGAAGAAAATACACGTTGATTTCGTTAAAGTCTGTGTTCCTAGGTTCCTGCCAAGCATTATCAGTAAAATGCAGTTTGTTTGTCAGTGTGATTATGAATAATCTATGTGACAAATGCGGGTTATAAGCAATAGTGGAGTAGTTCTGTTTCATCTTTATTCGATACAGTTAAATACAAAAATACTAAAAATATTAAATAAATTGATATCATTTACACTGATGATCCCTTAGAATATCAGCTATGAGCACCCCTTGAATTTCCCATGGCACTTTACTACAACACCTAGCTGATAAAAAACACATTTGTTGCAGCACCTGCTCTGAGTTGTCTCAGTTTTCTCTGTGTTTCCTTTGAAACTGTAAGCACTTCCCTGTATTGATCTTCTTCTTCCATGTGTGCTGATGTTACATCAATCGATCAAAACAAGTTTTTGCTTACATAATGCTGCAAGAAGTCTCCAGAGTTTTAAAATGACGGCACATTGTTGAAGGGGAGGAAAGAGACTGCTACCAGGGAGATGTCATTTGTTTTATATAAACACGAGTCACAGTGACCTGGCAAGAGAATAACCTCCCGAAAGTGTTTAAAACATACCTGTTATAGGTCAGTGTTGAAAGCTCTGACAGTTTGCAAAGTACTGTGTTTAGGACAACTGACATTTATTAAAAGTAGGAGAAAAGACTTGATGCAATGTTGGCTGAGGCCAACATACATTAGAAACTTTGTGCCTAAGTGCCGAGATAGGGTTCACTGAGGCCAGGATGTTTTGTAGCATCATTTCAGTTTCAAAGAACTTTTAACTTGGGTGCAAAAACAAGCCTGCTGAGAACATAAGTGGTTACTCTTGATTCTTTGTGGACTCACTCAGTCCTCTCCAGATTTAACCACGTTCTTTGTCAGATACAACAACAAATTAAGTTAATTGACGTTTCGTGGAAATGTGAACTTCTGTCTCCTGCTTGAAACTTTTCAGAACATAATGCTGTTCCCTCAGTGTGGCTCTCTGCCGCAAAGATCCATTTTTGTTTGGCTTGGTTTTCAGTAGAAGCACTGCATTGGGACAGCACCTTTTGTACCACAGCTTTTCAATGCACGGAGCCCTGTTGAGAACTAGGAGAATGCATTTGACTGCAGTGAAGCTGAACCCAAAAATCACGTTCACCCCACGGCCAGACAGCCCAGGCAGCACTCTCTAAGCACACCAAGGCTGAAGGCTTGCTGTCTCAGGGTGGGTGGGCAGAAGGGTGTGAGCCTGTGTGCTCAGCGAGCACATGCAGACTGTTTGCTGTCGGGTGTATTGTGAGGGTGGCTACCTGGCCCCTGTCACTTGCCCAGGGTAAAAATAAGTCTCTCATACTGTGGCTTGAAGAGAAAAAAAAAACCCTGTGTTCCAAATGCGTCTTCCCCATGTTTTGTTTACTCCTGTACCTCATTGATGAATGATTCCTTGAAAAGCCATAGATTCTCATTATGTCCAGTACAGGGGAAAATGTCATGTTTTTACCCAGTTCCGTGTAGCTAAGTGCAATGAACAGCATCATGAGTGACAGTGTAATTACCAATCACCAAGAAAAGTCTATACAGGTATAATTTAATCCCCCTCATTCATGCTTTACCGGGAACAAACTGTTCCAAACATATTAAAATTTTAATTTTCAAAGATAATACTAGATTTAACAAGATAGCTAAAACCAGAGGGTTTGCATAAAAAGTGAAAAACAAACATAAATGTTTTTATTGCTTGTCTATTACTCATTATCTCTTATCTGACAGTGGACAGCGATTTCCATTTGGCAGTAGAAAGCTGATGTTTTCAGTAGTGTTAGAGCCACAGTGTATTCAAGGTCAGAGCTGGGAACATTCCAACAACAAATCTCTATCGTGGACAGCAATCCGTGGAAAAGAAAGGTACACTCTGAAAAATAAGTTAGCTAATTTAGCAAATAAAATACTATTAGTATTTATACAGAAGAGCAGGGGAAAAACAGGAAAGGGAGAATGGCAATGATTATCTTATTCAGGTTATCTGAGGAGAGCACCGGTAGCACTTGATGTGACATCTTAATGGGGAACAGACAATCATGTTGGCTTCATCAGACAGCAGCTAATTTACTGAGGACTTAAACCTAAACCCAAACTTCTCCTTAGTAGTTAAGAAGTTTTCCTAACAGAAGAAGGTGGGAGCAGGCAGAGACAGCAGCCGACTTGGAGGGAAAGATTGTTCCGTGATCAGGATAGAAAATTAGGTGAGCAGAGGTGACAGATGAGGCGACAAACCCTGGTGAAGTACAAAACTGGGAGATGCCTCCCTTGTTGTTCAGGTGTGCATTAGCTGTCTCTGCTTGCCCTGGAGGGCTGTAGGAATAAAGCCAACCAAGTTAGGGTGAGGCTGGCTGAAAAATCTGAAGAGTCAGGTCCTGAAACAGAAGAGTGGGAGAGGAGAAAGAGATGAGACGAGGAAATTGATGTTTCTTAGAAGGATTCATGGTTTATCGTGTTAGTTTGCCCTGTAGCTATAATTACTAAGAAAACACTTTAAGAGTGCTTCGAGGTTTAGCGCCTTGAAGATGCTGTGACAAAGAATGTCATTAGAGAGGGATTTTCAGGATTTGGGCGTTTGTGTGACTGCCTTTGTCAGCCCCACAGAAGTCCTCAGCTAGAGCTGTTATCCCTGGATACTTGCTCTACACCCGGGAGCGAGAGTCCCATCCCAGAGCCTCCCTGTGTCGGGGGCTGTGGCTGTGCCCTTCCCTGGGTTCTGGGACTGCATGTGAGGAGCCTGCTCTTTTCCCTGCCTTCACTTGCTTTCAGCTGCCTCTGGGGTGATCCTGGGTTATTCTACCCTCTGCTCTCTGCAGATCGTTCTGTCTCCTTCCTGTAAAATCAAAGCACAATTCATACAAGAAGCCGTTTGTTAGATTAATTGACGTGGTTGGAAAAGATCAGCTCCTAAGCAGAGGTCTATTCTGATTACATTTTCAGGACGTTTTTTAGAGTGACTTGGACAAGAGCTTACATTGCAAAAGTTGCCTGTTCATCTCCAATTAAATTGCATGGGTTAAAGTAGATTATCTTTTCTCATACATCTTGTTTTGCTCTTTTTATCATTTAATGGTTTAGCTACAGCATTTGTGTATCATCTTCAGTCCTTGAGCTGTGGTCCTCGCCATTCTATTCCTTATCTCTTCAGTTGTCCCATTGGATTGAAAATTTACAGAAATTCAGAGAATTGGGCTGATCAAAAGAAGTAGGTATTTCAAGTGGGTGTCTCTTAAGTATGTGCTTATTTCTGATTAAGTGGTGGTAAATTGTTTTTCTTGAAATCGGGCCATATTTTTGCCTAAGTAAACAAAGCTGTAGGTATGAAATAAATATTTTATTAAGTGATGTGTGCTGTGAAGGGAAAGAAAAGATCAGGGGAAAAGTAAATACAAAGTGAGAATAAACAGAACCTGAGGGGACAGGAAATGAGTTATACACCTTTACCTGTGGAGCTCTAAATCAGTGTCTCTTCCTTCCTTGAGCAGTTCAGTTTAACACGTTCCTAAGGCCAAGCAGAGTCTTCTTCAGCAAGCAAGCCATTATTCAAAGTCATAAAATAATTTATAACTTATGTAATTGATTTAATTGAAATGGACACTTGCATGGAAAGAGAACATTTTGATGTTCATGCTTCCTTCAAATGCAGTTTTCCACACAAAACCCTGCTGGGAACACTCACATTGGTTTCGGACAGCTGTCCCAGTGGATGGATTACCAGCCCTTCACTGGAGATCCCTGCTTCACCTCAGTAACTTAAAATGGATTGGGCCACTGAATTGCACTAAAGCTTGTTCAGTTGTACTAAGGAGCACTTTGGAAGCGTTTAGTCTTTTTAGTTCTGTATCAGTAGCTCACTGAACATGTCCAGAAAAGCTCCTGGAAATGTTTTCTTGTGAAAACAGCTGGAAAAAGAGCTTCATTTCACAAGATCAAGAAGGAAATTTTAATGACTATACCTCCTCTTGTTAGATTTTCGTCAAAAAGATTAAAATTTAGATCTGGTCCCATCAGTGGTCCTAGGTGGAAAACCTCATTAATGTAACACGTCTAAGTTTAGAAGGAATTTTTTTTTTATAATTAATTTTACATCCTTTTTTTCTCATGCCTGTTCAGTTGTTTATCAAGGCAACCCATTTGACTGGAGTTCTTTACTCACTGAGTATTTTTGTGCATATTGCTATTTCAGCCAGTCAAAATTGATTTCCTTAGTGTTGACGCTCAGTGGCTCTCATGAAATTATGGTTATCTTTCCAATGGAATCATGTAAATTCTGTTCCTTTTGTTGCAGACCAGTTTCACTTTTTTTTCTGCACAATTCACTATATTTTTTTCGTAGTATGTAATTCAGATTCTTTTAGAAACTGCTCCAGACATAAAAGTACAGCCAACGTTCTGCTCCAATCTAAAACAACAATTTACAAACATATGTGTGAGAAAGATTCTGCTCTAAGGATGTTCACAGACTATGGGAGCTGGCAAAAGATAGTTATCCCCTGGGCCTGCTGATTTTTAGCAGGCAGGAAGGTAGCACTTGAATTGTGCAGCACTGCAAAGGCTTGTGCCCGTGGAACAAGACATTTATTGCAATATATTCTCTAAAGCTGTTAGAGGGAGCCCTGCTTCCGTCACCAGCCACAATTATTCCTGCAAGTGTCACAAGTGCAGTTCCCACACACACTCAGTTTTTTAATCGAAGTACTTGGCAATAAACCACCAAACACTTCAGAGAGATTATTTATCCAGACAGAAAGCTCCATGTCCTAAATAGCTAATCAAAGCTATGTGATGGAAACCAGGAGATACCTGGGCACTGGCATGATCTGCCTGGAGGCAGAGGGTCACACCAGAGCCTGGCGGGCCCACGGAGCCTGTTAGCAGGGACAGTGCCACGTGTGCCTGCAAATTGCCTGGGAAACAAACCAATAACATAACAAGGCACTTCTCTAGATTTTACACTGCACGCGTGGGGTTTTTGTGAGACACTTCATAGCCTCCTAATTCCTTCTGTTTACTTTTGGTCATTATTTTTGAAGCACAAAATATAGCACTCCACTTCTCTCTTAGACCTCTCAACTGATGTCTCTACATCACTACCATAATCCCCTTTCAAGAATTTGAACAAGCAAGCAGCTGTGCCTGTTGCATTTAAGAGATATATTTTTAAGAGCACTGTTGTTTACAACATGAGCGCGTTCCTCTCAGCAAACAGTCCTACTCTGCCTCT